GATTTGGGTGGCATTGATAAAGGAGGTCTTCTACTTTGTATATTTCTGAAGTGAATTTCTGTTATAAAATTTTGTGTGTTACTTTGGTAATAAAAAGTAGTTAAAATACTTACTAAAGGTTGAGGACATAGCTCAGTGGTAGAATCTTTGCCTATAACATGAGCCAGGTCTTGGGTTCCATCACTGGCACTTTTGGAAACAAACAAACAGCAAATCTGTATACAAGACTATGGTATCTGAGAATAAAGATGTTTAGAAATAAGTCTCCTAAAAATCTTTAACTATCCGTTTCTCATTTCTTTTACAATTTCTATTTATATTCAGCAAAAAACGTACTATTTTTATGTTGGATAGGAGTTTTAATGAGCGTGAAAAGCTGTGTAAACACTAACATAATTAAGACAGTCTCAGCTCTCTTCCTGTCCCCTCATTCTTCTCCTTTGTCATGGACACTCTTCTATCCTCCATCCTCCATCTCTGGGACGGTGCTCTCCATCCCTGGTTATGCCTTTTCCAGAATGTCATAGAGATGGAACTGCAGAATCCAGCTTCTTTCATTTAGCATATTGTGCTTGAGATTTATCCATGGTGCTGTGTGTAGTCAATGGTTTCATTCCGTTTCGTTTCTGCATAGTATTTTACCGTATGTATAGATTGTAGTTTGTGTATCCATCCCCAGGTGAGGAACATTTGGATTATTTCCAGTTTTCAGTAGTTACTAATAATGCTGCTGTAAACGTTTGCATGGAGGTTTTTATCTTTTTTCATGGGTCAATACCCAGGAGTTGTTTTTTCTGAGTCTTGTGGTATCAGCTTGTATGTCTTTGTGAGAAACTGCCAGCTCTTTCTGGAGAAGACATACCATTTTGCACTCCCACCAGCAGTACATGAGAGTTCCAGTTCTCTCTGTCTTCACCAACACTTGATATTGTCAGTTTATTCAAAAAATTAGGCCATTCCAGCAAATGTGTGGTGAGATCTTATTGTGATTTTATTTTACATTTCCCTAATGACCAATCACCTTAAGCATCTCTTCATGGGCTTATTTTTCATCTGTATCTTTTTTGGTGAAATACGTTTTCGAAATCCTTGCTCATTTTTTGTTAATGTGATTCACTTTTAAATTTTTTTAATCAAAAATAAGAATTTTACAACAAAATGACACAATAGTTAATACACCATGTATCATAGTCTTAAAAGAAGTTACCCGGTATAACACATAAACAGAAAAGACTTACAAAGAAGAAACAAACAGATAATAGCACCAAACTTCCTTTTCATTGACTTAAGAGAAACTAGTAGTATAAATGAAGCAAGTTAGTGCTTATAGCGTATATTTTGAAACAATTGAACAGATCATTTGGAGAAGTGTTTATCTCCCTATTCCTATTTATCTATCTTCTATTTCACCTCTCTCTCTCTCTCTCTCTCTCTCTCTCTCTCTCTCAAATCTCCTATAAGAGATTTTTGCACCCATGGGTCTGACATATTTCACTTAACATTGACTTTTCAAATAGCATTCATTTGCCTATTGATACTTCAAGTTTATCTGTCTTTATGGTAGAGTAGCACTCCATCATGTATAGATAACACTAAGTTTTTGTCTAATTGTTCAACTTTGAGTGTCCTTTATATATACTAGATACAAATGACTCATCAGTTGTGATATTTGCAAACACTTTCCCCCAATATGTAGCTTGTTTTTTTCTTTTCTTTTTTTTTTTTAATTTTCTTAATAGTATCATCAGCAGGGCAAAAAATAGTTAATTTTGATGATGCTCAATTATTTGCCTTTTTTCTTTTATATGTTGTGCTTGTGGCATCATAGCCAAGAATTTTTGGCCTATCTCAGAATTACAAAGTTTTCTCATTTTCTTCTAAAAGTTTTATACATTTTTGTTTAGATGGAGGCCTCATTCATTTGAGTGAATTTTGAAAATAATTTATGAAGTATAAGTGAATGGATATCCAGTTGCAGAAATCACTATCATTCCTTCATATCAGTGTTTATTTTAAAAGAAAAATACGATTCTGCTTAGCAAGAGAATTCAAACATCTTCCAACATACAGGGAGAGAATCATTTGATTCGGAAGTGACTAGGAGAGCCCTGGCATTGTTTTCTGTCTTCCTCCCCTACTGAAATGTAAGCTCCGTGCAGGTGAAACTTCCCACTACTTGGAGGTATAGCCTCACCTCCTGGGGCAGAGACCAGACCACAGCAGATGCTCGGTAAATGTTCCTGGCAGGACTGAATACAGGGTAGGGCTAGTGCTGCAGATCCCTTTGCGCCCCATTCCCTCTCCTGGCAGAAGTTATCACTGAGCCAGCTCTCCAGACCCTAAAAATACATTGTTGAATGCAGCCAGGCAGCTTCTTATGATAATGAAAGCTGTTCTACACCACACCTTTTCTCTCTTAATCATATATTTTAGATATTTTCTCCCAATATTCATTATTCATTGATTTACTTATATCAGTTTATATAGAAACTTTTTCTTCTTCTTCTTCCTCTTCCTCTTCTTTTTTTTTTTTTTTTGAGATAACAATGCAATTCAGGCTGCTCTTCAACTCTCTGTGTAGTCCATACTGACCTCAATATGTGGTGATCCCTCTGCTTCAGCCTCCTGAGTGCTAGGATTACAGATTGTACTATCACACCTGGCAAGATAATTCTTTTTAAGTAGACATTATAGTCATAGTATAGACTACCACGATTTACTTAGTAATCATCTTATTAATAGATAATGTGCATCATGTCCACCCTTTCACAATTATAAATGGGCTGCAGTGAATATTATTACTCATGGGCAAATAGAACAAACTGTGAAATTACTTATTAAGAACTTGTTATATACTAGTTTTTCCTCCTAATGCATTCTACTATTAAGTGTCGGTTTCTCTACCTCCTTACCAATGCTAGATTATTACCACGCCTTCAAAATATTATTCCATGTTAGTAAAAATGGTTTAAACCAAGAGCTAAAGATCAGGGATAAAGCACTTTTCCTTGATGTGCAAAGCCTGGATTCAGCCGCCAGCAATGCCAAAGAGGAAGATGATCAAAAGCTTGAATTATAGGTAGGCAATACACATTTTCTAGACCCATAAGCTTCTGTTCCTAGATTATAAGTTAGCCTGATTTTGTTTAAAAAGCCAGGCATGATGATGCACTCCTGTAATCCTAGCACTTGGGAGACTGGGGCAGGAGAATTGTTTGCAAGTTCCGGACCAGCCTAGGCTACAAAAGGAGCTCAAAGCCAGCCTGAACTGCATGGTGAGACCCTGTCTCACAAAGACAAAAAAAGAAAGAAAGATAGAAAGAAAGAACAAAACGAAAAAAAATTAAGCTCATATTTTCTGAAATAAATGGAGCTAATTAAAGGAGTAAAGCAACAGGAGATAATCTGGGTAAGACCTTCCAGAGAAACCTGCGTGCTGTACCCTCCTGTGAGGTGTGCTCAGAGAGCTGAAACCACAAGCCTGCTCTCCTAATTTTCTTGCTATAAAATATTCCCAGGTTATTTTTTTTTCCTGAAAAAGAATCGACAACACAAAAGCTTAAGTGTTTGTGTTGCTGGAGAGCAAATGGGGGGTGGGAGCACCTGATGATTTATTGTTATTTAGCAACGTTGTGGTTTCTCCTGGGCCTTGCTAGATGTTCACTAGAGGAGAGAAGTTGTGTGCTTTAATGAATAGAACTGGAGTCTGGAAAAGGGACATGGGATGTGTAAGAACATTGCCAAGTCAGAGCAGGAAGCTGGTTCACCAGCTGCACCCAGGAGCTTCCATGATGGCAGTCACTTTCAGGCCAGGCCGTGTGAAAATTAGTTGGTTTGTGCTTGCCTTCTGCTCTTGCTTGCTGGTAGTCCCTCTTTAGGGCTGCACAGAATCTTCTCTATGTCCTTTGGCTCCCAAATGAGAGGTAGGTAGATTTGTGGCATCAGCAGTTAGAGTTTGAAAGTTTTGTTGAAATTGGCTAATCTTACTCTACAGATGACAAAACTGAGGCCCAGAAAGGCAACATGATACATCATGATGGAGACATTCTAAACCTGGTGCTATTAACCCATGAAGGAAAAGAGATTTTTTATTTGAATGCCAAAGACTTAGATTATTGGACTTGCTTTGAAATCGGCCAAGTGAATGCAGTGTGTAACAGCATGTGTCTTGCTGCGCCCCTGCCCTGTCCACTGTAGCAGATGGTGTGAATCAGCGTCCAGCCTCTGGCCCAGCCTGGAACCCTCCCTGTGGCATAGTGCTGTAGGCAGCATCATCAGCACTCTAAGTTTTCTTGTGGGCTGAAGTCGGCCGTCCTGCCCCTCTAAATGACCCATCCGTGTGATTCGTGGGTGGTGCTAACAGCCCTGGACTTCAAGCCAGAAGAACCCAGCTGGTCCCTCAGGCTTAGCTGCACTGTTTCAGGCAGGTTGTTTAACTATTCTGAGACTGTTTGTCTCTAAAATGAAGGAACTGAATTAAATAATTTTTAAGCATCCTTTCAGGTTGGACTAATGTTAGGAGTCAAGGCACAGGGACTTCTCTAAGAGTTCAGTTATAAGCAGGTAACTGAGTAAAGACCACCGGGTGGTTTTGGGAAGCTGGTGAAGTTTGATATTCAGAAGTGTATGTCTCAGACTTTTCTGATTACTTCTCTTCATCTGCTTGGTTCCACTGACTATATCCCTGAAACCAGAATTTAGGGACTCCCAAAGGGAAGAGAGGGAAAAAGTTCACTTAAAACCAGAGGACTCACGGGAAGCTCTTCCTGGCTGAGTGGGACCTGAATGTTTTCACACACTCAGCCGTTCAGATCTCCCCAGTGCCTCTGCACCCTGAGTTTGTGAGTCTCCGGCTGCTTTTTCCCTCTTCCTTTTTTCCACTGAGGCCCCTTGTGCACAGAAGGCCCTGTCACCAGATGAGTCCAGCGCTTGGGCTTCTCTGGGCTCCCAACCTCTTGCACCTGTGCCTTGTGGTGACTGCTTCCCTGTCTGTCTTCCAGGCTCCCCTTCTCTCCGGGCATATCCTCTCCTCTCGGTGATCACCCGGCAGCCCACGGTCATCTCTCACCTTGTCCCCGCCACTCCAGGAATCGGCCCTGTGTTGTCACGCCACGTGGCCACTGAGGCTGCATCCGCTGAGGCTCCAGGAGGCGAGGCTTTAGCCAGCAGCGAGTCAGAAGCTGAGCAGCCCACACCCCGGCAGAAGAAGCCCCGCCGGAGTCGCACCATCTTCACCGAGCTGCAGCTCATGGGGCTGGAGAAGAAGTTCCAGAAGCAGAAGTATTTGTCCACCCCAGACAGGTGAGGAATCAGGGCGGGGACTCTTCGGGCACAGGTTTTATTCCAGTGTGGGATGTGGCACCGCAGCGGACTGTTTCAGGGATGCACGACACTGTGGCAGCAGTTGTATTCTTTGCCTCAAGTCGTCCCAGCCTGGGGGTCACAGAATGCAGCCCACAAGACTCCGTCACATCAGTGCCCAGCATCTGCCCACATCTGAGCGCACACTCATTCTACTCCATGTTTTAATAGACCACGCCAAGATGACAAACAAGGGAAAATGGTAAAAATGGTTGCCCAGGCTCACAGCTGGGAAGGAAACTCGGCTTTTAAAGCTACTCACACTTAGAATCAGGTACAGTAGAATTGGGTCTGGAATTGGGATCCATGATCTCAGTCTGAGCTGAGGTGGTTTTCTGGCCTGGTCCTTGTCTGGGAAGGACCAGATTGACCCTGTCTTACGGAATCTGATGGCTGTCAAGTCAGAACCTCTTGGCAGGGCCAGGAGGAGTCAGAACAGGGTCCCTTCTGAAGCACTCTGAGGTCCACCTGGGGAGACAGTGACCCTTGCTTCCCTTGAATGCCTCAAAACTTCATCTCTTCTCTTAAGTTATGTTCTTAACTGCATCCAATGCAAGACTGTGTGTCTCTCTCGTTCCTTGAACTCACACAGGGACAGCTGAGCTAATGTGTGATCCTATTTATTGAGAGGATTTCCTAGATCATTTTTCTCTTCTTTTGCTCACTGCTTTGTTCCTATCAGTTTCAACTAGTCCTGCCAAAGTAATGGAAAGAAGACTCAAAGGAGTCCCTGCAGCTATTGTGTTTAGCAGGGTGACAAAGACAAAAAGTGAGAGAAGAGTCTGCAGATCATCCGATAAAAGAGATAAAAGAGAATTTGTCTGCTGAGTTCCATAACCAGGTGCCATCAGCTGTTTCCCAGGTGCTGGCCTCTGTGGCAGGTGTCACAGGTCCAAGAAGTGGTAGACAAGAGCTCTGCCATGAAGGTCATGGGCCAGACATGACACAGCAGTACACAACACAGCAGCCAGGTACTAGTGCCATTATGGTGCTCAGGGCTGTAAGAGCCAAAAGATACTGACGAGAGTGGCTGGTGGGTTAGGAAGGCTTTTCAGACGAGGTAACAGTTGAGAAGAGCTTTGATTCATGGGTAAAGGAGCACACAAAAGGCACAGAAGCAAGTTTTGTTGGATGCATTGGAGGATGTTCAAGTGGCTAAGCCACCTCCAGCCTACAGTGTGCATGGTGACATTGTAAGAAGTGGGACCAAGGAATGAAAGAAGGACTTCATATCCCTGCCTGAGCAATGTGGGTTTTGTTGTTTTGGTAGTCAGAAGCCACCAAAACCAGAAAGGATATGACAGTGCTTACATTTTAGAACCGAGGCTTCACAGCACCAGAACCAGTTAGTTAAGAGAGGTAAAAGACGGGGTAGGGTAACCAGCTAGGAAAGAATCCAGGGTGCTGACGGTGGGACAGAAGAGAAAAAAGATGGGAGACAAAGTTGGGAGATGGCATGGGCAGAATGGGTAGTGGTGGAAGAAAGAGAATAATAGAAAGCTGAAAACTGTGTGCTTCCTTGATTGGACCACCAGCCAGTGGGGTCCCCTTCAGGGATGTGACAAGGAGGCAGGGGGCAGGGTGGGCTTGGGGTGGGGAAACAATGAGTTCTGTTTTGGGTTTGCACATTTGGGGTGCCTTCAGGTGGATGTTGCACACAGGTTTGTGAGCTGGGGACTCAGCTAGGATGTCCAGATACTAAGGTCGGCTCTGATGTGCTGGCAGGTAACCCTCGTGGGCCCAGGCATGGGCTTCTCATGAGTTGCATGGTGGTGGCCCAAAAGGCTTCCATGAACAGGGGTAACATTTTAGGCTTATTTTTCAGAAGCAAGCAAACTCTTTTCAGAAATGTTAGCTGTCAATAAACCTCTTGGGGCTTCCCCATACCTGCCTGGGCATCTCTCGGGTGACCTACACAGACCTGATTCACTTGCCTGGGGAGGAGGACATAGCTGGCTGGCTCGAAGCTGCTGCCTGAACGCGCCCTCTCCGATGTTCCTCGCCTCCCTACGTGACCAGGGCCATGAGCACTCCCTTCTCCGCAGCTCTGCCTTAGTCCTCTGTGTTTGTTTCTCTGGTTTCCTAGGTGATTCCATTTAAGTGAATATGCAAGGAAGTAAGAATTGGTAATGGTGGCAGGTAATGAGAGAAAGCTGATGACAGTGAAGTGTGTTTCTGTAGCCAGAGTGAGTCAAGGATGCATTTTTCCCAAGTGAGCTAATACCATTTGCTAATGCAGTGGCAGAGCTGTGAACCTTCCATTGACTAACGCACCTGATGGCCTCAGGTGAACCGGGCTTGGGAAAGCACTGCTGGAGTCCAGGGAGGACCTGTGACTACTAGGGCCCAGGGAGGCCCAGGACCCTGGAAGTCTGTGGGCTGGCGCTCTGGGTTCTTGATGCTCAATTATGACTGTTGGGACTCAGTGCTTCATTAATGGGAAAGACCAAGCACTTTTGGCCCTGGGAATTTATTGGTTTCTTTCCGTTAATCACTTTCAATGAAACTTTCAGCTGCTTCCCTTCTGCAGAGAGAGCCAGCTATATGTGAATGTTGAATTAAGACAGGTTCTGAAATCTCTCAAAGGCACATTCCACTTTATTAGAGATTTGATGTGTACGCACTAGTCAGAGCAGGGAGCTGCTGAGAATACCAGGTATCAGTACTTAGAATCTTCAGGGCCAGAACCCCTGGGTCCTGCCAATCAGCAGATGTCCTCAGGCAGAGAAAGCTACAGCTGAGAACTCGCGCTTAACTCTCCCCAAGGCTCAGGCTGCATCTGCATGGCTTCTTGTGAGATAATGGGCAACAGAGCTAGCTACTCTTGGAAACCCAGGGACCTCCAGGGTGGCAGTCACTGACCAGATGCTTTGCAGCTCTGCATTGCTGCACTGAGCACATTGGCACTGCAAGATGGTGGCTACTGTTGCATCAGCAAGCTGGCCTTCCAGGTGGTGCTCAGAGAGACCTGGGATCTGACCCACATAGGTCAGAGGGTACGACCTTGAAGACTGGGCTTGGGATCCTGGCTACAAACTGCCCTGAACTGCTACTTCCGTACTTTCCACTTGGGTTGCTTGCTGCTCCCTGGGACATACATCCCTGCATTGCTTTCTGACGGATCTGACTTGTACAAAATTATTGTGGGTGGGGATATGCCCTGTTCTGAGCGTGGTGTACAGGTCAGATACTACAGGATTGCAATCCTGCCACCTCCACTTACTACTCCAGGATCATCCTCAAGGGATCAGCTGAGAGATTCTAATCAACTTGATGGTGTGGTACAAGGAAAACATAAAATAGCACATGGCAGGTCCTTCGTGTGCAGCCTGTGATGCTCAAGAAATGGTCCCTGTGTTGTTGGAAGTAGCCAAACTGCACACTTCTCAGGAAGGAAGGGCTTTGGCTTTTAGAACTTCTCAGAAAGCCACAGAGAAATCCAGAATATGAGTAGTGATAGCCATAGAAAGCAGGCAAGGCTACAGCTTTAATGATTCTTTGGGGATATTTGTAACATTCAATCTTTTTGCACATTTTAATTTTTTAACAGTTCAGGGCAGCTATGATAAATGAATCAGTCTACCAAAAAGTATATTTGAGCTCCAGTTCTGAACTTATCCATGTGAAAGGCACTTCTGTGGACATAAATGAATGAACTGGTGTTGGGTTAGGGAGGCGGGAATAACACGTGTGTGGAGACAGTGGAGGACGTGGGACCATGGAGTTGGTTAGCCCATGGGAGGGGGAGGGGAGAGGGATCACAAGAGCCAGGAGACAGGACTTGAACTCGGTCTGGAATAGTGAGTGAGAAGCCATAGATGAATAACTTTACCTTTCATTTCCGGCTTGGACTTTGGGTCAGAGTACTCATTTCATGAAGGATCTCAGTGATTAGAACAGGATTTTGTAATGATGGCTCAGACATCTTTTGCAAATCCATTACAAACCAGAAATGTTTGAAATGGGGACTGTTCCAGTGTCCTTGGGTATGGCTGTCTGATCCTCAGTTCCCAAAATTTCTTCCACAGGATTCTTGGAAGGAAAGAAAACCCCACTGGGACAGAGTTAACTTAAGCAGGGTGGTCTGAGCTGGCGCGGTGCCTGGTGCTAGCTAGTAGGCCCCCATCTCTCTTGCCGTCTTTCATCTTCCCTATCTTTCCTTTGTGTCTCCTCTCTTCTAGGTTGGATTTGGCCCAGTCTCTGGGACTCACTCAGCTGCAGGTGAAGACTTGGTATCAGAATCGTAGGATGAAATGGAAAAAAATGGTAAGAAAGGGAAGAGTTGGTTTAACCATGTGCCAGTCCTTATGAGAACTTGTAACAGAGCAGCTCTATAAGAACCACATGCTGATTGCACCACTGGAACATCTAAGGGATCAATATGAAATATGATTTTTTTTTTCTGGTACTGGGAATGGAACTCACAATCTCGGGATTGCCAGGAGGGCACTGTGCTGGCTGAGCTATAACCCTGGCCCTTGCCAGGTGTGGTAGCACATGCCGGCCATGGTGGTGCACTCCTGTAATCCTGGCACTCAGGAGGCTGAGGCAGGAGGATCGTGGTGAGTTTGAGACCAGTCTGGGTTACAAAGTGAGCTCAAGGCCAGCCTGAAATGTATAGAGAGACCCTGTCTCAAAAAGACCAAAAAAAAAAAAAAAAGAGCTGTAGGAGGCAGAAAAGATCCTTTGGTGGTTTGGGTTGTGAGATGGGAAGATCCAAGATGCTGGCTAGGCAGGACAGGAGACCACCTGAACTGGACCTAGATTTCTTCAGCAGAAGGGTGCTCTTTTTCAGTTAGAAATCAAAGAAAGATCAGAAGCCTCCCAGCTGCTAGTTTGCACTCTACCTACTGACCTTGTCAGAGGCCTCCCTTCCTCTCCCACCAATAGCTAAGAACAGAAGTCTGTAAACTCCCGTCTCACTTACAGTGATAGAGAAGTGTCTTCCCTATAATGTAGAGATCCTGGTGCCTGGGGGCAGCTGTCACTGGGTTGCAGGTGAGTCTGCAGGAGTCTAGGCCCCCTTCCAGACGCTGACTGCTGAACCTGGGACGGGGTTGGGGACAGGCGTGCCAACAAGCACCCAGGCTGTCCTGAAGTGCGTGATCTGATGACCTCTGCTCCTGTACTATGGCTCTACTGCCTTAGGGGTAAATACTCCCACTTTTAAGTGGATTGAGAACAAACATCTTTACATTTTGTCTGCTTTATGAAAATGACTTGATTTCATTATTGTCTGTTTTCTTTTCTATTGAAAAGCACTGTTAAACTCACATTTCCCAAAGGAGTTGACTGCTTATTTTCCCAATTCTGTAAACCACATGGGACAAGGTCAAGGTCCAGAGAAAAATAAAGAGGTGGGGCGTAGACGCCAGCACCCACATCCTCTAACACAGGCCTCCCTCCCAGCCTCACTGGCTCGCACTGTCCCTTCCTGCCCCATCTGGACCAGCTGCACTGTACCAGCTGCTCCGTGCCTTCTCGGGACATTCTCATTCACTAACATATTTGGTCACAGCCATATTTCCTGGTGTTGCAAAGGTTGGAAAATGTCATCTTTCAACAATAAGCACCATTCTCACGTTTGCAAGTTTGGACTGTCCCTACTATTGCTGATAGCACTGAATGGGAAGAATAAACATTAATGGGTATGCAAGTGAATATTAATGAGAAAAGTTAGAAAGGAATCAACAAGCAGCAGATATTATAATTCTAGAGAGGAAATCCTGAGCAGATCTCATCAGCTCCGCTGGGGAGTTCTGACGTGAGATGGCAGTTTTCAAATGGAGGTGACTTGGCTCTTGAAGCTGCTCACAAAGTAAGGCAGAGAACGCCAGCTGCATGTATAAACAACCACATATGATACAAATTTAAAAATACATATTTAGTGTCCCTTGTGAATCATGCCTTGTCCTGAGTGCTACAGGAAGTAATGAAACAAAACATAACCCTTGTCTTCATGAAATTTGTGACCAAGTTAGAAAAAGGCGGCCAGGAAGCAGTAGAGAGGACATTATGATTAAGTGCTGGTTATTTATGATAGACTGATTCTCCCCTTATGAGTGCAGAGTAGAGGCAGTGAGAGAAGCTGGAACTGAGTTCAGTTACCCAGCCAGTCTTTCCAAAAGCTCAATAGTGCTATGCACTTAAAACTTATGGTAGAAGCCATCTGGGGAATTGTTCTCTGAAAGAGCCAGACTGAGGAGTGAGAATCGCTGGGCTGTGTTCCCATGCTTGCCCATTCGTGGCTGGTTTGGGGTAAGTCCCCTCAGTGCTCTCTGTGCAAGCTCCACCACCTGCCTCCTGCTCCATCAGGGGTCATCATCAGAGTCAGTGTCTCCTGAGTAACAGAGGCATTGTTCAAATTGGTTATCAGGAATCTGTGCATGAGTCAGAGGACTACGGGACTGACAGCCCGGCCTCTCTGCCCGTGCCGCCCAGTCCCTGTAGGAAGATGTGCACACCTTCGCCTCTGACGTCACTTGTTTTTCACCAGCTACTGTGCTGCTGACACCGTTTGTGGCCTGCTTGTTGATAGTTATGAATGCTGAATAAATCAAAATGGAAGCATCTCAGCAGAATTAGCCTCGGAGAATGTTCTAGGCCCCTTTAGGAAACAAGAGCCAAGCTTTTCATTTCACATTAGTAATAATGTATAGTTAGTTTTGTTAGCAATGCAGATGCAGAGATGAACTCTGCATCCATCCTTTAAAAAATAGAATCAAGAGGGTAATCACACAAGTGGAATAGTCAGGCTTTAGAATTAAACTATACAGAGAAACAGGGCAATTGCTGGAGGGTTTATAGGATTCAGAATCAGGTCAGAGAAGGGAAGAATTCATGGGAGAGGCACCACCCACATAAGTTTCAGTGGATAAACAGAAACGTGTCCAGTGAAAGTGGAAAGGAATTCAGGTAGAAGGTAGGGACAAGAGTCCTTGGGTGTGCTTAAGTGTCTCAAAATGGCAGGAGCTACCTAGAATCTGAGCCTAAAAGCCGACTCCCCTGGGACAGCAAGGCATTGTGGAGATTGGGATTGCTTCATATGTTTTCCTGGTATGACTCTTTTGAGGCTATCTCTTCAGGTACTGAGAGGAAAAGAAAAAGATAATTGGGTAATAAAGATGTCTCAAGGCTAGTAACCTAATTGGAACTGGAAAAAGATTAGCACTTGTTTCTCATACTTATTCGCATGGCTGCCAAAGACTGCCTGCCAAAACCAAGATAGCATCTCCAACTAGTTTTGACTGGTCAGCATTTGTAATCTATAGCGGGTTGGGTAAATTTAATCTTGCACATTAGATGGGACACTCACCTTCTATTCCATCTCTGTTGGCATTAGCTCTGGTAGGATCCACAGTGTTTTGCAAGAGGCTGAGAGCATCTTGTTATTCAGTGGTCTTGTTTCAGCTTTAAAATACAGTGAGATGATCCAAATGGATACCACATTCCTTTCCCACTTGCAGAATTTGTGTGGGCTCCACACCACCCACCATCATTATCTTTTGCGTTGAAAGTCCCAGATAGCTGAGAATGGTGTGAAATCATTACCAGTTGCTATCTATGTAATCTTGGACAGGTTCCTTAACCTGTGGGTGCCTCATCGGTAAAATGACTTACAATGTGTACCTTATAGAGTTGTTTTATCAACTGAGCTAATTTTTATACAACACCAAGAACAGTGCAGGCCAAGTGGGATATAACCAAGTGATGTTAACTGCCAGTATTATTGTTGTTATTTATCTGTCCACAGAATCCATGTCTCCAGAGAATCTGAACTTTTGGAGGCTCACAAAGATAAACCAAAAGAAAATTTTATGGGTTTCTGGGACCCTGAGCTTTTATTTTGGTTAAGAGTAGTCCTGACCCTGTTTGAGGTGTAACAGAGCACCCAGTCTTCAGGCCGTGACCATCAGCTAAGGCGAGCAGTGGTGTTCTCAGAGGAGGTTTATGCTGGAGCCTCCACGCTTGCTTTTCTCAGCTTCATGGAAACTGCCATCAGTTAGATAGCCCGCATATTTCTAAATCTGCTGATAGGAAAAAGGAGCAAAAGGGACATAGGTCAAGCATCTACAGCAGGGACATTGGGCAGTTGCAGATAAATGCCAGACACAGGAAAAGCAGTATTGCATTTATGTGTCCCCTGCACGTTGTGCCACATAAAGTACTGCTAAGATTGTTGAATTTGCATAGTTAGGGGTGTTGCATTCAAATCCAAGCTCTGCCCTTGACTTTGGTCTCGACAAGTGCTTTCTATCAGCTGTTTCCCATCTCGGAAGGGAAGGCAGGTGAAGGTTCCCCTCTGCACTGACACTCTGTGCTCTGTAGCCAGACTGCTTGTCTCCCACCTGATTACCTCTATAAGGAAGCAAAAGCCCATCTTCAAATCCTCAGCACCAGAGCATTTGAGTGCCTTGCTCTAGAGTTTGGAAGAAAACTGTCAGCAGCCAGAGCTGATAAAGGTAGATGGTGTGCTAGTGTTTCTCCAAGAGGCAGAGAGAAGTGTATGGTCTCAGTACAGTGGGTGCCTGCCATTGCTGGACCAAGGGAACAAATCAGTGCTAGGAATAGCTGGGGAGGAGGGCTCCTGGGCGAAGGGCCACAGGGTGCACGGGAGTGTGGTTCCTGGTGCAGGGAAGTTCGGGGCTAATTGCATGTCTCAGGTGTGCTTGGAAGCAGGGGCCAGAGGTTGATGTGGAAAGCAGCCAATAGGGTAGTTATCTCCTAATTATTGCTTGCACTGGAATGTTTTATTCCATTTAAAAATGGCCTGATTGTTTTGATTTCTTTGTCATGCTGTGGGAAGATGGCCAGATGAGATTGATCCAAGCTGTGTGGGTGGTGCTCTCTAATTGCTGGGCTGGACTTTCTTTTGCCAATTAGGTGGCTTCCTTAGACCTGCCCTTTTAAAAGCATGATTACTACATGGGGCAACTTAGTTTTGTGTAACCTCTTTCATACCCAGTGGAGCTGCTTTCAACAGGTAAATACCTTCTTGGCACATTCAGGTGCTTTCAAAAGCCTGTGCTCAGATTGAAATCAAAATCGGGTACTGACTTACCTGAAAAGGAGTACGGGGAATCTTCTCCCCAGAGGTGTTTTCTTTCAGCATCCACACCTTATTAAAGGTCCATTCACAACTCTGCTAGCTGTTTGGGTGGATTCAAATAAATACCACATCCTCACTGTTAAAGGAGATGTTGATTGAGACTATATGCTGTTCTTTATACCTGTACACAAAAATTAACTCAAAATTTATGATCATCCTAAATGCAGAAACTGAAACTATAAATCTCTTAAAAGAAAACATGAGCAAATATTGACAATATGGGACTAGACAACCCTCCTTAGAAACGACACCAATGGCTTAAACAATGACAAAAATTAAATTGAACTTCATAAAAATTATAAACTTTTGTGCTGTGAAGAAAATCATCAAGAAAGTGAAAACATGACCCACAGAATGGGAGCTAATATCTCCAAACCTTATATTGGATAAGGGACATTTAAAAATATTTAAGTAACCCTTATGATACAGTAGGAAAGAGATAAGCAAGTTTAGAAAGTAAATGATTTGAGTAAACCTTCCTCCAAAGAAGATACGCAACTGTCCAAAAGCACATGAGAAGACCCTGAACTTCGTCAGTCACCAGGGCAATGCAAATCAAAACCACAGTCACAGACCACTTTGCACCCACCGGGATGACTATAATCAAGAAGTCATAATAGTGAGTGTTGGTGAGAACGTAGAGAATTGAAATCTGTACATACTGTTGTTTGGAATGAAAAATGGTGCAGCTGCTCTGAAAAACAGTCCTAAAAATGTTACTAATGTTAATCATAGGGAGGCCATATGATTCAGCAATTCCATTTTTGGGTGTGTACCAAAAGAAGTGAAAGCAGGAACTTGAACAGATATTTGCATACCCATGTTCATAGTGACATTATTCACATCAGGAAAAAGGTGGACGTGTCCATCAACGGATGGTAGTGCATGCATAAAATAGAAGGTTATTTTCTTATATACAGTGCAACGTGGATGAACTTGAGAACATTACACCAAGTGAAAGAAGCCAGTTACAAAAGTGTACATATCAAATGATTCTGTTAATATGAAATGTCCAGGATAGGCAAATCTGTAAAGAGAAAAGACAGAATTGGTGGGTGCCTAGGACTGAGTACAAGGAGTTGGGGGAAACGCAGGGTACTGCTGACAGGTACAAAGTTCCCACGGGAGTAATGAAAATATTCTAAGAGTGCATTGTCACAAGAGGTGCCCAACTCTGTGGCTGTACTAAAAGTGACTGCGCTGTGCACTTGAGACAGATGAACTTGAGACAGATGAACTGTGTGAGAAGTGAGCTATATCCCAGAACTGTTCTGGAAAAGAACTTGTGATTTGATGAGATTCTACACGCATTCTCAAAGCTCAGCACCTGGAGGACCTCTGCTGTTCTTGAAGAAAAGAAACATTGTCAGTAAATATTGCTGACTGCAAGGAAAGTTTATTGGAAATTAGATTTCCCTAGGAGATATACAGAATTTGTCTTCAAGCAACTTCTGGACAACTGGGGAAAATGCTGTTAAGTTAGTGTGTGCCACAGTTTGAATCTGGAACATTCTGTAAAGATCCTCGTTTAAAAGCTGGGTCCTTAGATTGATGCTGTTGGCGGGTGATGGGACTTCACAAGGAAGAGTCTAGTAGAAGGGAGTTGGTTCCTGGGTGTGTGTCCTTGAAGAGCAAATGCCCTTTCCTCTCTCCCTTCCCCTCCACTCTCGTTGCTTCCTGGTCACCATGAGGTGAGACGTTTCCTCTGTCTCATGCTCTTGTCACTGTGATGTATTGACTCACTACAGCCAGAAAACAACAGACCAAGGGTCCACAAACTAAAGCCTGCAAAACTATGAGCCAGAACAAAGCTTTCCTCCTTCTCAATTGATTTATCTCAGGCATGTTTCCACAGAAATGTAGAGTGACCAACAGTGTAAAAGGAATAGAGATCTCTTTCCCTCTTCAATCTCTGTTTATTTCAGATCCTCCCAAAGCCCTTCTCACTAGCTGCCTAGAAAATCAGCTACACCAAGTCAGGTCTTGAAACCAATGGGAAAAAAATACTATCTGTTACATTCCAAAGAAGAATATAAATAGAAAAAAATGACCCCTTCCCACATACGGAATTCTTGTGTAGAACACAAATTGGGTTAATAAATGTGTAAGACCTTTGACATCAGCAAAGACCACCTGGGGCAAGCAGTTCTCCTGCTTGCTTCATGTGTCTCTTCAACTCTTTGGAAATGTTTATTGAGAAAGCTGAGTTTATCCCATCACAGTTGTCATTTACCTGCTGTGTGCGGGCACTTAGTGAGAGAGGCAGATGAGCAAACATGCAGGAACAGTATTTTACAGAAAATTCCTAGGGCACGTGGCAAAGAGGATTTGACTGTCAATTTGAAAGTTTAGAAGTTTAAGGAACTCAGCAGGCATCCAGGGTCCTCAACTCCTCCTGTGCAAGAGGAAGGCAAGGAGATGGTATGAGTGCTACGCCCACCTTGGGGGTGGTGGCTGTAGCTTGCTTGCAATATAAGGGAGGAAGAGAGGCTTGTTCACCCTGACCTTTTGCTCTTGCTGCTTTTGCTGTCTTCTGCTGCTTTGAACTGTTGCCCCTGGGCCATTGCCACTCTGCTATGGAGCCAGCTGATTATGGACTGAAACCTCCACAAACTGTGAGCTAAATAAACTTCTCCTTGCTTAATTTTGCTTGTCAGGTGCTTTGTCTCAGCAATGAGAGAAGAGTAACCAAGACAGTCTTTTTTGTGATCACTAAAATACATACAATCTTTGTTGAAAATTTACAGAATACAAACAGATTAAAAAACTCCAAGATTCAAACACTACAAACTAGATGATGTATAGTTGTCTGTCATAAAAATTGAATTATGCTAGTAGCCTAATTTTTACAAAAATATACAATGAAACCATATCAGATCCAGTGGTTAGGTCCAGTGATGATCTTATGGAGAACTGTGATTTGATTTTGGTCCAGTTTGGTTTTTGACCAGAATCATGGAAAGAATAAAATTCATGAACTGAAGTACCACCGTATTTATAAGGTTTTCCATGTCTCTAGAACTCTATTGTATAATACTGTAATGATTATAACATATTTTCTCTTTGGTATATAGTATAATTATTACTTAATTAGATGGCTAAACCTTTAGGGTAATCCCCTAATCTTTGCTGTTATAACCAATATCATGATGAATATTTTACATGCCAACCTTTGTCTCAGTCTTCGATGACATTTTAGAATTTATGCTAAGGAATTTCCATGTTTAAAAAAAGGCTACATATTTGAGATTTTTGATTTGAATTCTCAGATAGTTTTTAAAAGGTTGTGTTACACACTTTCACATTAGAGTGTAATTGTTTTCCTGCTTGCCATAAACATTGTCCTTTAATTTGCCAACATGATTAATGTTTTAATTTTTACTTCTTTCCTTATTGAATTAGTTATTTTGGGGGAGGTCCTGGGGATCCACCACTGAAATACAACCCAACTCCGTGAAGTAATTTTTTCTTGTGTTTGTGATCATGTGAATAAAAGCCCAAACTAGGATTGGAGCCATTTCACACAGACCACAGGAGAGGGTGGCTTTAAAATATGTTTTGCCAAACCCTGTGTCACTGTGGCTGGGAAGGAAGGTTTAAATGCTGTGTGAGGATGTACTGGAGAGTGGGCAAACGGTGGAAAGGAGAATGGGAAAGCGGGGAAAAGGAGCTATCTCTTAGATTCTGTAACATATTTTTTTTCTCATGTAGGTTCTGAAAGGTGGACAGGAAGCACCCACAAAACCTAAAGGTCGCCCCAAGAAGAACTCCATCCCTACATCAGAAGAGATTGAAGCTGAAGAGAAGATGCACAGTCAGGCCCAGAGCCAGGAGAGCCTGGAACCCTTGCAGGGACAGGAAGAGCCCTGTGACACGCAGGAACTAAAAGCGGGTGACGTCCCCTTGGAGGTGGCAGAGCCGCCAGGCCAGCCTCAGGAGCTGCCGGAGGCCTCTTCCAAACCCCCACCATTAAGCTAAAATAAAACTCTTGCCAGGGAACAGGAGACTGGGAAGAAGGGGAAGGTGAAGGCAGGGTGGCCAGGGAGAGAATCACTTCTACCCAGCCGGCCAGCGTGCCTCCCTGCGCCCACAGTTCTCAGTGGTGCCTTCATCGCAAGCATCCAAGGAAGACTTGCTTGTCTTAGGCCCTCCTCTTCCTGGAAGGCTGCTTAAGCCATAGATGCCCTTGATTGAGAGAGACAGTGCCTTCAAGCTCCTGTCCCCACCGAGGTGACAGCTGTTGGGCTAGATAGCCACTCTGCGCCAGCCTGCGGCAGAGGGTCTCGTCCACCTGCCCCCTGGCCCTGGGCAGCCAGTTGTCTAAGCAGAGAGAGATGGAGCCGCTTGGACGGCCTGCCCAGGCTCCTTGCTGACTCAGCACTTATTTCTGTAGTTTTAAAAGAATTTAATGTTTTGGGGTTTTTCCGGGGGGTGGGCAAGCAAACGAGTTGGAGGAAGGGAATGGTAAGTTCTTAGAACTTTTTCTGGATCACGTTTGTTTGTTTGTTTGGAGACGTGTGCCTTTGTACCCATTATAATAAGATGGTCAGGTGACCAAGAACTGATAACGCCTTGTTTTTCTTGCTTTTAGTTTCCCTCCCTGAAGCTGCCAATGCAGATATGTTAAGATAACTTTTATTTTTTAATTAAAAATAAATCTTTCAAAAGGATTGAGTGTTCTGTTTCTTCTGAGGTGTGTCTCTAACCCTCCTGAATGTGTCCTATGGGAAGAAACCAGAAAGACAGCTTGGCTCCTGGTCCTTCCTCACCTACAAAACAAAAGACTGGGTCAGTGCACCTGAGCCCCTGTGCCAGGATCCCTGGGACTCGGTGTGAGACCCGGATGAGGAAGGAGCAGACGCTCAGACCCACTCTACATTCTGGATTTCCAAAGATGACAGTACTTTTTCAAAGAGGTGATATATGTATATGCCCCCAAAGTCAAAACCGCATGAGAAGTCATGGTTCTGCACTATCTTCTTACCCCACATCTTACAGGTAATCATTTTTATTTATTCCTTATTCATCCACCCAGTTCTTCTAAATGAAATATCCATTTGCATGGATGGTGGGCTCTGGAACTTTCAGAAAAGAAGGTTTGAGAATAACTAGGCCAGATCTACTCAGTAATTTTAAGACTAAAACGATGTCCCAGCTGGGAATGCAGCTCAGGGCTTAGGCTGCGTCATTAGCACACATGAGGCGCTGAGTTCCATCTCAAAAGCACTGCAAAAAGAATGAGAAAAGGTGAAAAAAAAATAAAACCAAAATTCCACTTTTAATAACACCAGGAAAGACGCAAGCACCAGAATGTCCTAAGAGGGGACTCTGGCTCCCTCCAACCTCCCTCCCTCATTGTCTGATTCTCATGCATTCTAGCTCTGATGCCTGATTTCCCAGGGGTCACCTTCGGGTTTTTCCGTGATGCCATCAAGGGTAGAGTACCCAGTTAGTGGATGGCCAGTCATTCACTCTCCAGTCATTCTGCCAAGTTGCAGGCATGGGGAATACCAACCAGTTTTAACAGGGGCCTCAACGAAGAAGCAGAACCGGTTACTAGCTCTGTGAAACAATTGTATAATTCATTCCAGAGTTAAACAGGAAACCTCTGCATGCTTTCAATCATCTGGCTGCCTACTTCTGCTCATTAACGTGGACAATCAGAAAGGGACCAGAATCCTGACACTGCCAAGGCAGTGCCTCCATCACCTTTGCTATTGAGACCAACAAAGAGAAAGCAGCCTTTCTCTTAACCCTTGTGAATAGACAAAGGAGTCAAGCACTTGGCCTCTGAGAACCAGTTTGCACAGACCACACCTAGCTGCCTGTGCAAGGTTGTTTGTGCTGAGCCTGCAGAAAGCTCTCACCTCACCTCTAGGCCACCCCGCAGTATGATTTCATGACTGGCCTACCAGGTGGTGTCACAGCGAGCCCACGTAGACACAATGGCCAGAGGGAGCAGGTGGCTCTGTGCCAAGCTAGTCTCATGCTAAAGGAACTGCTCTGTGCTGTTCATCCCACCCAAGAGAGCTCTTCTAGGTGGATGCTGGCCTCCCGTGATGGATTGTGATCCCTTCGCCTGGGCATTCATGCTGTGGTGTCTGATAATGGCTGTCTCTGAACAGAACTGTGTGTACATTTACATGTGCTAGTGTAGCAGAGAGTTGGGCTCGGGTTCTTGACTTTCAGCTCTTGTTCTATGGCCCCTTCTTTTGGTTTGTTTCTTGCCCCTAGGGGTTAAAGTTACTTTACTGAAGTTACTTTACAAGTTAAGACCTGGGATTATCATTCCTTGTGTTTCACAGGGTTCAGCGTAAGATTACCTCCATTTATAAATCTTCAGTCTATCCTCCAGCCTCAGGCTGCATGGATTTGCCCAGTGACTCAAAGAGGGGACAAGCTGGGCCTTTAAAAATGTATTTTGGGTTACCTGGCAAGTGCAAGGTCATGAGTTTGATCCCTTGGTATAAAAAAATATATATAGTTTGGGAGATAGTAGTTGAATTGAAACCAGAACCTTGCACATGCTAGGTAAGTGCCAGGCCACCGAGCTGCATCCTCAGCCATAAACATTTTAAATTGACAAATAAACATTTTACATATTTATGTATCTTGAATTGCCTTAACATGTTTTTAAATGTGTACACATTATAGAATGGCTTTACTGGGCAAACTAATCTGTGAATCATACACTTAACCATTTTGGTGTGTGCTGAAAATACTTGGAATCCACTCTCAGCAATTTCAGATCTCTTGAGCATATTCCTCTTTGCTAACCTAAATTTTTATCTTTCAACCAACACCTCAGTCATTGTCAGGCAATCTGTATACTCGCACAGTGTCTGGTGACCACTATTTTATCCTCTACTTCTGGGTGGTTGCCTCTTTGCAATTCCAACTTGGTTGGAACTTGGTTATTTGTCTTTCCATGACTATCTTATTTCACATTAATGTTGTCCAGGTTCACCCATGATGTAAACAAATGACAGGATTTTGTTCTTTTGTATGGCTGAACATTAGTTAGTTGAGTCTATAGCATAGTTTCTTCATGTACCCTTTGGTGGACAGCTGGGTTGATTCCATATCTTGGCCATTGTCAATAATGCTGCAATGAACAGGGAGTGCTGATGTCTTTTTGACAGACTGATTTTGTTTCTTCTGAACATATGTTGGTGGTGGGATTATGTGGTAGTTCTGCTTTCAATTTTTGAAAGTAAGTACTGGGCCTCATACAAACAGGCTCATTGCTGTTTGTGTCTTGTTGGAAACCAAACTGGGCATTTCCACGAGTTTTATCTTTCCCTTTTGTCTCAGGTTCCCAAGAGTTGTGACCTGTGTCACACGCCATTCTGACATGGGCTTAGGAGTTGGTGACAGGTTATCCAGGGGTCTCCGGCATGGACAGCACTCCCTTCTCCCTCACCATCTTTCCTGGATCACTCGAGTCATTTTCCCATGGTCGGCTACTGTTGTAGTCAGAATTTGCAAGGAGAGCAAGACAATACAAGACACACACTGTATAATGTTACTTTACAGTCATCACCCAAAAAGTCAAATACCAAAGAGAGAGTGCAGGAAATCTGTTCACACACTAAGACCCAAAGAATCCAGCTGAGGGCCTGGATCCATGATAACATCCTGCATGAGTCCCGTTGAAGACCTAGAGCCCACGTCAGTGCTCTTGTGAGTCCAATCGACAGCCTACAGCTCATGACAATATCTCATGCAAGTCTGTTTCATCAATCTGCTCTGGGAAAGCCCAAAGGTCAGTGATGAAAGCCAGAAAGTCAGTATATACAGAATGAAGGATCTGTGCCAGTGGATTGAGGGTTCTGCATGGGAGCCAGAAATCAATGTTTAAAGTAAGGACTACGGTGCCCCTGAAAATTACCACAGCCATCCTCAGAGACAGTGTGGTCCCAAGCTCCTTTGACAGTGAGAACAGCTGAGTTCGTATCAGGAAGCCAGCATGACTAGCTTCTCCTAAAGATTGAATAGCACATCATCTTCCTCTCTGGAGCCAGGAAGCATGTTCAATGTGAGGACCAGAGCTCCTCCCAAAGTGAACCACAGCCATTCTCATGAAAACAAGGTCCCAAGCTCTTCTGATGATGAGAACAGCCAAGTTCATATCAGGAAAGGTGCTCAATAAACTCTCCAGGAGAACCAACAACACAACAGGAGAACCAACAACACCACAGAGAACCAACAATTATAAGCTCTTCCTCTCCAGTTCTCCTTTTCATATGAGCAACTATCCTTAGGTGGGCCATCCACACTCAGCACCATGCTGATTCAGTATGGCTGGTATTACAAGATGATCACCAGTTATCAATCTACCACACTCACCTTTGGTAGCCTTGTGTCCCTTTATTGGCTTACCTGATGGTGATCCCTGAAGGCTTAGGATTTTACTTTGAGGGTCTAGACACTGACTGATTCTTGAAGTTTTCTAGAGAAAAGAAGAGAAGTGAGGTAATTCCTCTAGAATTTAATCTTCAAGAGCTGATGTATAGACACCTTGGCCTCTTCTGTTGAGGAAGTTGTCTGCTTTAGGAGACTCGGAGAGAAAACACTATCTACATATTTTTCCCTCAGGCTGTGAAATGGGTGGTTCCTTCCATTTTTAAATAAGTTCATTAGTTGTGCCACCAGCCTGTGCACTAAAATTACCAAAAGCATGTTCTGTCACTCAGATGATGCTTGCTTGCAAAAGTTAAAGCCTAAATGCTGATAATTACTTATCCCAGCTGCCTACCATGGCATCACCACATATTCCGTCTCTGAGGGGGTCCAGACCAGCTTAGTGTGGTCCTGATGCTGTAATGACAGGAGAAGACCTTGAGCTCACTATATTCTCATGATGATTAAAATCACAGCCGCGGATACCACAATGCATCTGACTGTGCCCAAATTAGGGAAGAAAAAAAGGGGCATTCTGATCCTTTCAAATCTCCCTTTCTGTGCATACAGTACCCCTCATAAGCCAATCCTCATAAAAATCCAGACAGCATATTTATTTGTAGACAAGGTGTCTGTAGAACATGAACCCCTCTTCTCCATTCATTGGCCACTGAATAAAATGAACCCTCTGTAACAGAGCTGTTTCATTATGTGCATGTGGTACCGCAAATTTGGTAAATGATAATGAGCAGGAAATCCTGCAAATTCAGTAACAAGGTGAGGATAATGTTTTTTCCTGGGTCCCCGCAGTTGCTCTGGAGCTGTGTTGAGAATGGAGCTGATTCACTGTTCTCCGCAGTCTGGATCATTAGGATGTCCTCACACGATAATGAATCCACAGTATGGGAACTCTGCCGGGGTTCTCTGGCTCAACGCCCACATCAGGCATCTTTCTGATGAGGAAAGGAAACCCGGTGTAGGCCCCCAACTGTCAGTGAGCATCCCACCCAGGTCACCCATCTAATCATGAGTTTGCGTTCTGGTACACTGCGCACTCAAGATTGCTTACAGGTCACCTGTAAGAGTTTGCTAAAACACAACACTCAGCCCTCAGTGACCAAATGAGTGCTATGGTATGAGCCATGAGCCTTCAAACCAGTTTGAATAGATGAGAAACCAACCTTAAATAATCTCATGACAATATCTCATGCAAGTCTGTTTCATCAGTTTGGGGATTTTTTTAGAACTGCCTTCAAGTAGAGATCTC